ATGAAGTCCAACCGGACAGCGTCCCACGCTGTTTGACTTCCTATTCTAATAGGCAGTGCTTTGGCCTTATCCAAAACAAAAAATTGCGTTGTATATCTAACCACTCCGCACTCTCCAGCGCGATCAGTGAATTTGCATTCCCTGGACACAAGTTTGCACCACGCCGTAAAGTCTTTAGTGTTTTGCAAACTACAATCGTACGGAGCGAGCTCCCAGGAAGGTCTTCCATGTACGGATTTTTCCACACCACACCGAAAAATACTTAGACCAATTAAAATGGTCTTTGACGACATTTTATGCACCTATCAATGTAATGCCGGCGGGGGGGAGGCAGGGCATAGGGTGGGGATTTGACTTTTTTCAACAATTTGCAATCAAATTCCCTGCCCACGGGCAAATCATTCCAGTCAAATGCAACCAAATTTCCCCACCCCAGGCTGCACATTGCTGTCAGTCCCAAGGCAGAACCTAAGAAAGGCACAATAAAAATATCTCCAAATAAAACTCTGCAATCTTTTATAAACGTTGCTGCATTACCAAAGATACATGTTCCTGTTACAGCTGCAATTATACGTTTTAACCATAATCCGTGTCACACTGGGTAGAATACATAAACCTTTAGGAGAAAGTCCACATTTTGTAAGTCTAGATATACCGTTCTTAGTAAAGGGTACAAACAAAGTCAGTTTTATCAGTGATTGTAGCGAACGAGCCATACACTAATCAACTGTACTTGCAAAAATCGGCTCGGTTTCTCTTTACTTCCGTTTACTTTGATACCACATTAAATTCAATTCAATTGATCAAAAACACCCTAAAACAAACGAAATTTGAAGACAAAACAGTGAAGTCCACTCAGCCTTCGCTTACTCTCATTGGCCTCCATGACTTCCTGATCTTTTCAAACCGTATGGCGCGTGCGTGAAGCGTAGAAGCGGGAAACACATGTTCGGTCTCAGTCTTTTTCGTGCGAGTCGGCAGTCAAATATCTCCACGTCGGGCGAAGAAAGATTCAAATATCCCCTCCTCCGGGAGAACAAGATCAGTCAAATGCCCTACCCCAGGGACAACAAAGACAATCAAATCCCCACCCTATGCCCTGCCCCCCCTTCGGCTTTACATTGATAGGTGCATTACCTGCGAGACAGGTCAAACAGACGAGACACTGACGCGACTTACACAGTCGACACACGTGTACATGTGTCACGCCACCTCATTCATGAGGACTCGTGACCTATGATGTAACCGACTTGGAAAGGTTTTCAATTTCACCAGAAGTAATGCTCTTTTTTCAATCCCGAGTGCGAATTTACGATTTTTGACTTTTCTCGCATTAAAATTTTGATTTAGGGCCTCGGAGAACGTTAAATGGAAGTCAAGAAACGTTGTTGAGTTCGTTTCTTTGACTGGATGATGAGCAGTAACAATTAACGAAAGCTTGCCTTTCGGAATTTCTCTCCCGCTTCCCGCCATCATAGAGATCCCGCTTCCCGCCCTTTCTTCTCCCGTCTTCCGTACCCCTCCCGCCCCCTGTTCTCCCGGGCTCCCGTCCCCCAGTCCCCTCCACTGGTTAACAAAGCGTGTAACAAGACATCAAGATAAAGTAATTTTATAGAGAGAGCACTGTTTGCAATAGATTGAAATAAAGAGTTTGAGCTCCCTTTTTTGGCGTCTGAGTTTTGTTTATAACCGAATTTTTAGTTAGGCAAGCGAACTTGTTTCTTAGCAAAGCGATTGCAAGAGTAATATGCTGAACGGAGAGCGTGCTTTTATTTGGAAGATAGAATAGATTACAATCAGGGTTAAAAGAGCCCGGGCAAGTCTAGGCAAGCCTATTGTTCCTATTGAAGTAGAGTGACGCTCATTAGTAAACCTATACCGAATTAGTATGCAGGAAGACACTGACTAGGCACTTAAATTAATACGGAGGAACGCATTTTTTCTCTAGGATAAAACAATGGGTGACATCATAGACTCGACCCTTATACATATTAATTGAGGGAACGCACACGGAACGCAAAGGGAACGAACCAACGAGGCTTATCTTTGCGGAAGCCCTACTACTCCAGTGCCCTGGGTTTACAAAGTATCTATGATTGATTTAATAGGGTTGCTGTTGTTAAGCCGGGTAGGTAAAGTTGCACAGGTTCCGTGTTCACCCCATTTGACCCTCCTACATGTGTAGTTATAGTCAAAAGGAAATGATAGTGATAGTGGATGACTGCAGGCGAATATGCAGTTGCATTTGCTTAAGGTCGCGGGGGGACACCTTGGGCTCATTGGTTTGTACTTATTTAAAGCGTATGCACCAAGAACAACGACTGATATCGACAGGTTTACGAGATATTTGTTGGCTTCACACCATACGCCACTTGCACAACTCCCATAATGCACCTTATTTGCCCCTCAAAATTTTGAACAACCTTTGTTTTTAATTTCTCCTGGGTATTACAGCCATCCCAAGAGAAATTGAAAACAATGCTTATGCAAACTTTTTGGAGGAAATAAGGTGCATTATGGGAGATGTGCAAGTGGCGTATAAGCTAAGTTAGTTTCAAGTAAGCACTTGATTCAAGTGCACTTGAAAATCTAAAGTCGCACTGTATATAGTAGAAAATATGGCGTCACACTTGTTGACAAAGTATATACACTGTACTTGAAATAAAAGCTATCAATCTCTCCGTTCATTAGAATCTTGCAACCGCTGCACGTGCACAACGTGCCACATGGCTTCCATTTCTTATTGGTCAAGTGTGTTCTCAAGTGTAGTGTAGACCATACTTTAGGGCAAACTTCGGCTTCTTGGAACCACGAACGTTTCCATGGTCACCAAGTAAAGTTTAAGTAGGTTCATTTTACCCCTTCACGCTCAAAGTAGGTTCCAAGTTCACTTACATTATACTGGAAGCTCAAGTGTGAAGCCAACAATTCGTAACTGGATAAAAGATGAGCCCATGATTCAACGTGTTCACGTGCATGTGTGGCACGCAGACTGCGGTCAAAATATAATGTTGTATTCAAAAGTAACAAACGGGTTCTGAATCAAACCTTGTCTTAGTGATTTAGAGCGGTTTTCACTTGACTGTCGAAAGTAATTGAGGAATTGGTTTGGTTTTGGTTTTACTACGCCCTTTGGTTGGCTAGTGTATTTACTTTGGTTTTGGTTTTACGACAGTCAAGTGAAAACCGCTCTAAATTTCTTTCTCGTGCTTCCCTTTTCCATCCCAATGTTGTTTATTGCGATTCGGTCACCAGATCGCGTACACCAACTTTGAGGATACGAGAAGACACAAAAGTGTTCCAAAAATTTAGACTCTAGCTCCGCTTTCTTCCATTTTACAATCCCAATTCTGCATTAAATTGATATTGCCTAACTGTTGATACTTTTGAAGCAATTACTACCGTTTAGGTCTGAATTTTGTCTTTTTAGCAGGCTTTACTGATATAATATGGAGAACAATTCTCCATCTTGGCCAAATTCCCATGATCCCCTAAGTCGTTCCCGTTTTGTATTTGCGGTTTTGGAAGTGGCCTTCTCTATTCTTATTTGCCTAACGTCCATCCAGGACAACCTGCTAGTCGTCTATGTTGTCCATAACGAATCCACACCCAAGAGCTTAACGAATTTATTCACCGACGACCTGGCATTGACTGACCCTTCTATGGCATCAATAAACATGCCCTTCTGGGCTCAGTTGTTCGAAGGCCGATTAGCGCTAATCCAGGGTTTAATTTTAACCTGAGTTTCTTTTTCTTTTGCTCAAAAGCATTTTCCCAGATAATTTTCTCTATTCTTTTTAGAGCATCCAATCATCAAATTGAAGGCAAAAAGAATAATACTGAATTTGCTTTTAAGCTTTCATTTCTGAATTTAAATTTCGCACTAACTCCAGGTTATCTTAACCCTACTTTGAAAAACCCGGCCCTGGGTAACAAACCTGTATACAGGGACTTGGATCCCAGTTTAGCGATAAGTGGTGTGAGCTTCGTTAGGAGTTGTTTCTGCCCTGAATATCGGATTTATCGCCTTTAAACGATATATTGGGGTAGTTAAACCATGCCAGCGCTATACATAAGACTTTTCCCAAGCAAGAAAATGGCACGACTCTATTGCACTATCGTATGGATACCTGCTATCCTTGTCGCAACTACGCCATTGTACGGCTGAGGCAAGATGGTGTACCATCCTCCAAACCGTCTCCAATGAATTGTCAGGATGGTACTCTCGCACAGGGGTGCTGTTGGAATCGTTCCAATCAAATTAAGAAAACTGTAACCCGGCCTAAGTACCAGGCGCTTGGAAGTAACCGGCTCAAGAAAGAACGGGGCGCTCGAGGGAGGACAGTGCCCATTCAATACTTCCAAGTGCCTTCTACGCGGGCTACGAAAACTGTAAAAAAGGGTGGTCAAAACAACGGCTAGGTAGACACAGTAAAACATTCCAAAGGCTTCACTTGATAATTGTTGAGAAAAGACGCAACTTGATCACGTTAATATAAACCATATTCAACCCGAAAATACTACGCATTAGTTAAAAGACGCAATTTCTGTTGGTTTACCGGCGAAATAAAGCACGCAGCTCGTGATTTATAAGCTTTTCTCGGGTTCATACAACATCCCGCTTGGTTTATTTAGCCGGTAAACAATAGAAAGTGGGGTCCATTGGTTAATTGACAGTATGCTTGTTTGACTGACAAAAGGACGATCACGGACCAATTTGTTATTCCTTTCGGTTCTGAAAGGAGTTGCTGGAATCCATAAACATTAGCAATACTCAAAACAACACTTCTCTTTTTCTCTTCCTCTTTTCCGCTTTTTTTCCTCGGCTCTCCTTTTCTCGAACAGGATACTGCAGTCACCAGTCACCTAAATCCCAAAACAAGGTTGCGTGACAGATGCGCGCACCTGCTGATGGGACAGGGTGATAGAGACGAACTGTCGTTTGTCTGTCAAGAATAAAAAATTCGGGTAAAATTCATCGTTTGCACGAGAGATATTAAATACACTGTCTTTCTTAGAATACCGCTATGTGGATGTCACATTTCGCGCTGTTCTTCGCGATTTCGTGTGCATTACGTTTTACCAAGGGCATAGGATCTTCCAAGCTACCGAATATTCTGTTAATGCTGGCAGATGACCTTGGCTGGTATGATGTCGGGTTCCATAATCCAAAGATACAAACTCCCCACATTGACAAGTTGGCTAAAGACGGAGTGATATTGGACAATTATTATGTACAGCCAGTATGTACACCCACTCGAGGAGCTTTGATGACTGGAAGATACCCCATTCACACAGGTATGGAAGGTAGTTGTTCTTGCAGTCAGTCGGGACACAATGTTTAGAGGCAGGGGATTAAAAGGGGGTTGCAGACGAAATCACGGTACCCGGGTGGGTTCCATTTTTATCATGGGAAATTTTTGATTTGTCTTATCGGTGAATATTTCAAATAATGTAACTCAGTGAATAAAAATAAAAAAAGGAATTCAGCTCCAATTTACATGACTTTGTTTTTAAAATTGTACTCATTTTATTCCATTCATTATTTTAGAGTTCTGTCTGACACTGTAACAAATCAAAAAGCACTTTTTTAACACTGCAAAGAAAAGACCGAGTTTACTGATAAGATGCTAAATAGCATGGTTTCACATGGAGTCATATATATCATGGTCCTAGGAAATAATCTAGGCGAGCAGAGGCAGTAAAGTCGTTTTATTATTGCGTTACCAGAGGATGTGCAGCCGGATTATGCTTTGTCCTCCAACTGTTCTGTTTAATTTCTGTCCGTCTTCCTCTGTCCAAGTTAAAAAAAGGAAAGCCTTAAGAGAATAAGACTTCCATCGTATTATATGGCACCCGAAAATATTTTTAAGTTATTTTTTTGCGAGCTACAGCTTAATGTAAGCTTTCTTACTCGCCTCATCTCTGTAGACAAAATTGATTTTCTTTTTAAAATAGAGTGCATAGTGTAGGCTTTGCATTCTCTTTATGGGCACTTTTTATAAAGCTAACGTCTCTTCGATGTGGTCATTGTTATATTTACAAAGTAAACTGAGTGTATTTTACAAATAAATAATGAAATATATCTTTACCTGATCTCTTATGCCATCTCAATTGGTAAGTTTATTTTGGAGACTAAATAAATTCATTTTCTAAATTACCATATAAATTAACCTTTCTGATGAGCATTCTTTCAAAAACGAAACTTCTCTAGTAGTAACAACTGTACTATTAACGTAGTTTTCAGAGAAATAATTGTCTTAACAAGAAAAATTCACCTTAGTTTTCAGTACAGTTTCACTGATGTACCGGCTATAACTAAATTTTGATGTGCGGGGTTTTACCACTGCCGGGTTTCACGTATACCCTCAACGAGCGCTGGCAAAACAGGAGCATGACCCGGGGGGGGGGTACTCCCTTACAAGAGGCTAATAGGGATGTGCCGCTGGGGGGATGGGGCCGCATTTTCACGATTGGGGTGACTATAATGGAGTCGCATTTTCAATAGATTTACTAGAATGGGGTCGCAAATTTTCGGATTTTAGGGGTAAGTAGGGATTCAAAATGGGAAGATTCTCGGTTACAAAATCAGGAAGTTGTTGTTCATTAAATTTAACAATAAGCTCGCATTGACCGCATCACATTCCGCCGCTTGAAACCACATGATAAGGTAGATGCATAAATAGGAAGTGACTAAGTTGGGATCGCGAAAATTACATTTTCCAAAAAGTGACTAAGATGTTGTCTATAATTGGCCAACAAATAGATTATAATGGAGTTGGGGCTCTGAGAGGCTAGCGGCACATACCCAGCAAACATTAACCCAAGTACCCCCGGGAGCATGATAGAGGTTAAAGTCTTCCCTAATGGCTACATAGACCCTGATAAACAGAAACTTGTACTTCGTACACTTGAGGAGGGTCGAACAATAACTGTATGTAAGCTGATTTGAATAATCACCTTTCGCATGATAACTGATTACAATGACTTAATAGTACTCGGGTACATATCTACAAAAATCCCTGCACATAGGCGAAACGCCAGTTTACAAGAATGCTATATCAGGTGATTTTTTTGTCTGATGTGATTGTTATGTGATCTCTTTGTCTGTGCTCAACATTTAGATGAGTATCACAAAAAACCGAAATAACACGAAGCCTGTTAATAGACCTTTCCACAGTTCTCTTTTTTTTTGTTTTTCAGCTTTTTGAAAACATGGCGGACAAGTTAGAGAAAGTCCGTCGTCTCCACTGTAAATCAGTAAAACTGCCAAGTTTGAAGGCGATTGTTGAAAACGAACTAAGATATAGCTCCTCAAAGTCCTGTCAGACGTTTGTATGTTGGGGGGGGGGGCACAAACTTGCCCCCTCCCCCCTCCCCCCAAAATACAAACGTCTGTAAATTTTCGCAACTTTGCAGAGTTATATCTTCGCTCGCTTAAGACGTATCACTTTCAAATTTGGCACTAATTTTAATGCGCTCTTTCCAGTGGTGTCGATGGATTTTCGTCCTAACTGGTCCATGGCAAGAGTTGAAAAAACTGTGAAAGGGTCTCATTAGGTTAGCCCTCTACTTACAAACGACCATTTTTTGATAGAAACCGTCGTCGCCTACGGTTACTCTGGAACATGAGTAAAGATAAGTTTAATTCATAAAGAAGATAAAATATCTGAATATATTTGAAAGAGCTTCAAGCTTAGTTCAGAGACGTCGAGGCGATACGTGAGTAGGAAAGACAGACAAGGATTAATTGTTACTGATTTATATTGAAATGTTCATTGATTGACTTGCGTTCTGTCATATATTGAATTGGTGTGACTCAGGTCCCGTTTCCACGTAATTATAGAAAAGATATTTTTTCTCGGCTTTTGTCCATCTGCAACAATACACAAAAGTGACTGAAAACGGTTCCGTCTTTGATGAGAACATGCGCATTTACACTGGTATCCAATGCCGTGACGTAATCGTTTACGGCGTTTTCAAAAATCTCCACTCTGGAGAGCGTTTATGAAAAGATGCATTTTCGGTGACGTTTTCTCCGGATACGTGAGGACGGTAGGCCAAACCGGAAAAAAAATTCTCCGTGCTCAAACGAAAAGTCTAAATATATACTAAATATACAGACAGTCAAATGCAAGATGTTTGAGATAACAGGCTGGCTTCATCTTTGCTACCGTCGCCCGTGCTTGCTTTTTTTTTTTCACCAGGTCTTCAACATGATGTTATTCACCCGGAGGACCCGTATGGACTGCCACTGGACTTTGACTTGTTGCCGCAGAAACTAAAGGAAGTTGGTAAGTGTTGATTAACGAAAAGCACATAAACAGAGTCTATGATTAACATCCGATTTGGTATCATATAAATTGGTAAACTGGCCCTGTTAAGGTTACATTTCTTAGGGTGGATTTCCACTGTCACGTAATTTTTACGTGAGTAGGCACGCAAATTTTACGCGGGTAAATAAAATAGAGGCAATGTATCGAAGATCATGCATAAACGTAAAAGCTGAACCTCGCTCACCTTTTACGTTTACGCGTGGCCTTTCATACATCGCCTCTATTTCATTTACGCGCGGAAAAATTACGCGACAGTGGAAATCAACCCTTACGGTGAATTTCCACTGTCGCGTAATTTTTACGCGCGTAAAAGTAAATTTGAGCGAGGTTCAACTTTTACGAGTGCACGTGGCCTTCCATACATTACCTCTATTTTATTTACGCGCTTAATAAAATTTACGTGTGTACGAACGTAAGAATTACGCGACAGTGGCAAAAACAATTTTTTCTCTCTCTCAAAACGTAAATGCTCTCGCTCAAAGTATTCAACTTAAGGAAAGTTTTCCTGCGTTTGGAAACTTGGCCTAGTTAGAATTATCAAGATGAAAAAGTTTGTAAGAACGCAAAAGCACTTGTAGAGCGAGTATCTGGACAAGTAAGCAGAGGGTCATAGGAGCTCACAGGTTTGTCTACTCGTTTGGGAGTACTCGGATTTTTTCTTTCGACTCGCCTGTGTCACTGACAGAAAAAAAAAAATTTCTCAACGCAAATGCACTTTATAAGTAACGACTCAGACGATGAAGACTGGTCTGGCCAGCCGAAATATTGCTCTTGTTGTATCAGCTTTGCAGTAGTTCTTTGATTGCTTGTTGTATTTTACTTTGTAAGTGAGCTTTTCGCTGCGGTCACCGTGTTGATTGCTTAAAAGCAACGACGACGGCGACGTCAACGAGAACGGCAAAAAAGCAATAGGTTTAGATTAGCAAAACAACAACTTTGCACTTGCATCACGCTTTTTTGTACACTGCTTTGCCGTCACTACATGACTGCGACGTGAAAATGCCTAATTTCACGTTTTGTGGAGGACGTTAACACAAGACAACGACTATTGTTTTCGTTTCTTGAACTTTGATACTGTGTTTTAGAATTCAACTCCAGAAAAATTTGTTGTTGCTTAAGCTCTCTATGTACTCATCACCTCACCACCCCTTCGCGCCAATTAAGCGAAATAAATAAAATTAACCGGTTATCAATCTGTGCTTTTTTTTATTTATTTGACTTTTGCAGGGTATTCCACTCACTTGGTAGGCAAGTGGCATCTTGGTTTCTACAAGTGGCCTTATGTTCCTACGAAAAGAGGTTTTGACACCGCCTACGGATTCTGGGACGGAGCTGAGGATCATTTTGATCACTCACGTGATGGTGTTGTGGACTTTCGCGATAACTTAGAACCAGTCTTCCACTTAAATGGAACGTACGCTACTAACGCCTATGTGGACGTGAGTAAAATGTAGCCTTGTCTTTATACTTACTAACAAAAAAAACTTAACGCCCTTGAGAAAATATCAGCAAGTTGGCGCCATTTTCCAATTTTTGAAAATTGTGCAGTGGGAAAACAATTATGGTGGCTCTGAACCCGCTTCATAGACAAGCTGATTGCAAATATAAGTAATCGAAAGAAAGTCAGGCGATTGAGCTCATTTTTAGTTAAATGCATTCAAAAGCAAATTTAAGGGAATTTTAGATTATGGCCGATGCTATCTCAATTTGAAATGTCAAAAATTGGCACATTACTCACGGTAGCGCCTTTCAAACACGCGTGTAGTTCGCACCCATAAAAGTATAACTGCCGAAAAATACTGCAATTCATCTTAGGTTTTAAAAGATGAAGAACTTGTTTGCTTTACAGAGGCGGTCACCTAAACCTGATCGATCCATTCTTATTTCCTTCGTAGCGGGTGGAAAAAATCTTACACGCTCACGACTCATCTCAACCATTATTCATGTACATGGCTTTTCAAAACGTCCATGCGCCCATCCAAGCACCGGAGAAATACATAAAAAAGTATGACTTTATAACGAACAAGATGAGACGAGTTCATGCAGCCATGGCGGACATTTTGGACGAGGCAGTTGGGAATATAACAGACGCGTTTAGGAAAGCGGGGTGAGTGGAACTCTAACATAACAGGTGCAGCGTGAGGGCGGGTAGGCGGGGTGTGGAGTACTCGGGCGTAAAAGTAACCGAAGAAAGGGTGAAAAGAAAGGACTGGGGGACTATTATGGTCTGAAAGATTTTATAAGGACCTCTGAGGGTCATAAATGAAAGTCAAACTGCCTTTGACCGTTTCATCTACAGACTAAATCTGCATTTGATAAGGATTTCTTGGCGGGGTTATAATTTCGTCTCATTCTTAACTTCTGCCCCCGTCCTCATTATGCCTGAGTACCCTCCGGATATCACAAGTAGAGATAAAGGTCAGGTGCTCTCCTATGAATAGATTAAAAGAGTTAGAGATCAATTGAGGGGGAAAGTTAACAGTTTACCCACCAAACGAGAGTATTATTGAAACGCTACACCTTTGCAGTGGTCTATTCACCAGAACCTTCGCGAACGCACAACAATATCACCACGAATATGCATTCGGCTGTTGTGCTCTTTCTAGACTTATCTGTATAGCATGCATACCTGCCCAGGACAGAGTAATTTACTTTTTGATACCCAATGTCAGTGTCCTCCGCTGACAAACCTTAGGTTTCCCGAGAAAGATGTCACCATCGTCACGCCACGAAAAGCCACAAATCATTCGCCTCTTTAATCTGTGAAAAGATCTTAGTTCTAAAATTCTACTTTTGCAGGTTATGGAACAACACCCTCCTTATTTTCAGCACCGATAACGGAGGCCTCCCTTATTACGGAGGATACAATTGGCCTCTTAGAGGAGAAAAAATGACACTGTGGGAGGGAGGGCTACGAGGAATTGGATTCGTGCACGGGAATCGACTGGCAAGAAAGGGGGTGACGTGCAAGGAACTGTTGCACGTGACAGATTGGTATCCCACCATTTTGGGACTCGCTGGTAAGAAGTTATAACGCTAAAAGATACAGTGATCCGAAATCTCTCGAATCATGTACATCAATGATCCGATTAATCCTTTTCCAGGGTGGATTCGTTGGTTCCTTTGATGTATAGCTATGATCCGAGAGATGTCGGATCACTGATCCTGATCATCCCAGTGGAACGTATTCTCTGTTAGTATCTTTTCGCTACACAAAAACAGGACGTCAGGTTGTGTTTTCTTGTTCAAACGTAGATCTAAAAGCACTTACTTTTCTCGTAGGAGTATCTGAAAACCAAGAAAGTCCTATTCCACTTGATGGCTTTGATGTGTGGGAAACAATTTCGTTGGGGAAACCTTCCCCGCGCACTGAAATACTACTTAACATCGACGAGCCTGGAGAGGTGCCTCCTGGACCCGGTATCCTAGGTGGTTACACAGGGGTCGCTCTCAGGATGGGCGAAATGAAGCTCTTGATGCAGGTGCCAAATGTCACGTGGTTTAAGCCACCCGAGATTGGTGGTAAACCAGACAAGGAATTACCTTTGGATGCACTGTTAGAACTTCCGCATGTGGTAGGACAAAATAACGTATCAGTACATAAGCAATGAGGACAATAATCTTGAGTGTCTTAAGGCCTAAGCCAAACGTCGAACTTTTCATGGGAAGAACCCAACTCTAATTTGGGTCGACCTAAATTAAGTTAACATCGTCTGTTGAGTCAGACGTCGAACTTAGGACGCGTCCAACCAATCAACTGAATCAGACCAAAAAGCTATTTTAATAAATTTTCTCCCGAACGAGGCTAAATATACATTATCATGCAAATGTTTAATTTAGTAGGTTTTAGTTAATTTATTAGTTTAGTCCGACGATTATGCCGGAGACGACCTTCAGACGGATAGAACGTGTTGGACGAGCAAAACTCGTTCAGACGAACTTTCTTAACTAAGCCAGACGTCGAAAGTTTCATGAACTTAAGTTCGTCTCGTGAAAATTCGAAGTTTGGCCAAGGTCTAAGTCTCCTGATTACTTTATTTTTTGACAGAATGCGTAATAAAACACTGCACATTATATCGAACATGGCACACCCTTTTGTCTTTCAGGACGCGGTTGACAAAGTTGTCGTTGCGCTTTATAACATATCCGCTGACCCAGAAGAACGCAACGAACTGTCTGCAAAGCTCCCGGATGTCGTTGCTAAGATGCAGATGAGGGTGGATGATTATAGGAAGTCTTCTGTGAGACCACTGTACCAGAAAAATGATCCTGATGCATTAAAGACTGCAAGGAAAAATGGAATATGGGGCCCTTGGCGAGAATAAAAACATATTCTGTTTAATTTGCGTGTGGAAAGAAGAAAACGGTCTCTTCTGGCTCTTCTGTGGGGTTCCCTACTTTGAATTTGACATCACTTGTTTGTTACAGAAAATGAGAAGGGCGATATGTAATCTCGGGCAAAGGGTTTTATCAAGAGAATATGGGTTAGATTTGTCTGAAGTAATTTTATTGTGAATCTCGGGTATAAATTATTATTTCCAAGTTCCTGTGAAAGGTTCTAACTGAAAAAACTGTTGAATAAAAGTAAAATACTTCCAATAATCTGTATTGTTATATGCCTTTACTTTACAGTTTTTTTTTCAAGGAAAATAGGACTGTGAATTTGACAGATGCTAATTGTCATGAAATATCATTTGGGATTTCTCAAATACGAGATTCTTCATCGCCAAGAATGCCCAGGTTTTTTTATATGGGGCAGGGGGTTGACTGATACTAATCTAGCCACCATACTACACATTGATCTATTTTTAATTTTTCTGCGTTTGCCCAAAACGTTGCAAATTAGAAAGGATGAACTGAAACCTGCAACAATACAACGCTTACCTATATAGGCCATTTTCGAAAATATCATAATACTCTTTGTTGTCCCTCCAAAGTTTTCAAGTTTCTCTTGGGATTTTCAATCGCCCCAAGAGAATTGGAAAACAATGCTTATGGATAATTTTGGCGGGGTATTTTTGAGCATGGCCTATTCGAGCACATTCAATGGGAGAATATCATACCACGTTAGCAACGGGGAAACCTGCTAGCCGGCTAAAAGTGAAGATGCCGTCATTCTTCGAGTTTGCGGCGTCACAAATTTTTCGCAACCAGCCCTCTATCTATGGTTTCAGTTATTTTGTCTCTTATTGTACATTGTAAGGCCGGCGGCTTTTGAGGATACACGTATTTCTATGGTATATTTTTTTGTGGGCTTTTCTAAACGAGTAATTGCCTGGCCACTTAATCCACCCCCTTGATCCGCCCCTGATGGCCGAAAATTCTTTCAAACTGACAACTAAGTTAGTGCTCTAGGCGTTTATTGACAAAATCTCCGGGAGCCAATGGCTTAAATTTTGGATAAAAAATTGAGGGATTATGAAGTTCAAAGAATTTTAACTTCTAGATTAGTAAATACTTTTCAGTCTTCATTAATAACTTTACCAACCTTAAAGGCCCCAATAAGTTACCAGTCTCCGGCCCCAAACATATTAGAAAATCATTTGTCTGATGTTAATGTGTTTCCAAGTGGACACCTAATGGTGGTCCCTCCCATACACATGCAAACACTGCCTTTTTAACATTCCTTCAGGCTGGGGACACCTCTCTTAAGAGGACACTTATTTGGTCACATGGTTATCTCCTTATGGAAGGGGTAGTTTCGAAAACGAAACACTCGAAAACGAAGACCGAAGCACCCAAATTTCGAAAACGGAGCACCCAAGACTCGAAAACAAAGCACCCAAAACTCGAAAACGAAGCACCCAAATCTAGAAACCACTGTACGTTGAAGGACAACAACTTTTAGTCTTGCATGACGCAAGCCAAACCAGGTGGAGGCAACGGTGCGTCCGCACCTCCAAAGGTCCACCAATCCAAATTCGAAAATCACTATGTTTGCCCATTTTCACGAATATCACAGAAATTACGAAATGGCCAATAGTCAGGGCGACGGAAATGCATTTGCAACACCTCGTAGTTCTACTTGAATAGTTTTGAACTGCATTCTATTTGTCATCGGGCTTGATTCCTGCTGCTGGTGACTTGACAAGGGACTATCTCGTGTTTTAAAAGGACGGACAGGTTTCGAGTTTTGGGTGCTTCGTTTTCGATTTTTGGGTGCTTCGTTTTCGAGATTTGGGTGCTCCGTTTTCGAGTTTTGGGTGCTTCGTTTTCGAGATTTGGGTGCTTTGTTTTCGAGATTTGGGTGCTTCGTGCTTCGGTCTTCGTTTTCGAAACTACCTATGGAAGGTTTGAAGTACAAGCACAAGTGACATAGGAGCAAGGATGGCACAGTTGGTTAGTGGGCGGCCTTCGGTGCGCGAGGTCCTGAGTTCGATTCCCCGTGACATCACATCCTTGTTTCAACTTCTCTCCTTTCTGTGTAGCTTTGACTAGCTTTAAATAACCAGAAAACGGAGCATTGATGGAGAGGGGGGCGGGGGATGAGCGCACTGTCGAGACATAAAGTTTATCAGTTATTACTGCCAAAAGTTATCGACGTAAAATATGGTTGCTTTACCTTTTTACTTTTACATCTACATGGGCTGAGGATTGTATATACAGTTGTTAAACTCATTAATAATCAATGAAAATCGTGACGGTGATTTGAATACCAGAAAACATTGCAGAGGAGCTATATCAAACACGCAGCCCAGTATGTCACGCGATATCTATCTAGTAGACACCTCAAAGTTAGTCTTAATAATCAGTACCATGCCTCGCTTTTCAACCTGCTTCTCAGTGTCAAGGTCATCGGATAAGACATGTGCTGTGATTGATGAATTACATCTCAATGTATTTGCAATTACAGGACCAAGTGCATTAAAGGTGTGAACCTCTAGTTGACCAACATTTTGAAGAATTATATTTTGGGAGGGTATCTCTTTTAGAAAGAACAAAACTATACACAAGATGAGATGATTCTTCTCTTCTTTGCTATTGACTACAATATTAAAGTTGGTTTTCTTTTTTCAGAAAAAAAGAACATTAGAAATTTATCATTTTTTACCTACTGCTCCACCGGAGGACAGTAAACAAAATGTCCCACCACTTTGAAGACAAAAGAAAAAATCAACATTTTTTTCCCTAATTATTTGTAATGTTACCTTATCTTCTGAGAAAAATGTTCAAAACGGCTGTACACAGCCAGGACCATCCGCTTTGCAGAATAACAAGTGGTGTCTCTATGTCCTCCCATCCTTTCCCACCAAAGAGATGGTTCCTTGTCATTTTACATAGCCTTCTCACTAATACTAGCAGAATAACAGTAAAAGATTGGAATATCCTAGTGCAGCATACCTGACAATGCAGATTTTCATGCTAAAAATTTAAAAGACTTTGAAAATACAACGCAGAGAGTGACTTGGACTTATCACCATCAAGAAAATACATGATCAGTGACTCTACATATCCTCTGGGATAACATATGCCTCCATATTTGGCCAACGTAAATGCATAAAATTCATACTTTGCATGGAGGCCAGAGAGGGCACTCCCTTGTTTGGCCTAAATGGATGGATGTAACAGTGCTACTGAACAGGTTATGGTTTTCACATCTTGAGTCCTAAAAAGGTTACACCATTTCACTACTTTATAGTGTCTTGAACAGGGTACCTTTTTGGAGTGTAACCCTTTCAAAGAGTATAAAGCTTGGCAAAGAACAGGCTACATGAAAGGTACTAACATCCGCCCCCCCACCCCCCCTTGCCAAAAAAAACATCAAATGACATGATGCTAGTTTAAATAGGGGAAACGAAATACATCAGGGTTATGAAATATGGTCTCTTGTCTTAAAAAAGTCAGTAAAACAAACTTGTTTTGCCTTAAACAGCATCAGGTTTTCAAGGCCTGGTCAGCACACCTCTACCTAAGCTTCCCTTGAGTGTCTCCCCCACCCCCCACCCCTTGTGGCTGAGGCCAAGGAAGATAATCCATTCCTCACATGACTTTCGATTTGTCCCCTAAACTTCTGAGCCATGTATACATTAAGGTTTTAGGTCCACCAAAGTGTACTAGGAGCTTTTACTTGCTTAGTCTGTGAGCAAGCTATTGTGTCAACTAGAGCTTTTAGAAGGTTTGCTGGCTAATTTAAATTGTAAATTGCTTTTTTACCCACGAAGCACTTAAGAGTTCATATGAACTCGTTTAAACGTGTCCGTGCATTCCAGATCGAATGGGAATTTGTAAGTGTTGGTTTTTGAAGAGAGGGGGAAAACCGGAGCACCCGGAGAAAAACCTCTCGGCGCAAGGGAGAGAACCAACAACAAACTCAACCCACATAAGGCGTCAATGCTGGGATTTGAACCCGGGCCACATTGGTGGGAGGCGAGTGCTCTCACCACTGCGCCACCCTTGCCCCCCTTGCTAACATGAGAGCCTGGTCTGCTCACAGGATATTATTCATGGCCTGTATTCTCATGTGTCTGTTATGCTGGCTACTCGCCATAGAGCCTCCAGCAGCTCAGTGGTTATAGTGTCCGAACACCTGGAGCTCAGGATTTTTCTGAGCTTTCTGGTCTTAGAATTCTTTTTCTTCTAACTCATATTGTACGGTCTTGGTCTCATACACTGGTGAATGGCCGATTTCGAGCAAGTCCCCGATACAGTCCTCTATGAGTGGTGTAGTTATAATTAAATTTTGACCCTGCTCACCAAAGAGCCTCTAGTAGCTCAGTGGTTAGAGCATCCAAATTAGAACTCAAAGAACATATCCTAGGATGATTCAGCAGGGGTTCTCACAATTGATGCTGCTGACCTACCTGTGACACTGATACTGCCTGAGATGCTGTTGCAAAATTCAGGAACATGCATTGCTAAGCAACAAGAGGCCGCCATGCAACGTGATTCAACTTTACAGGAATGCTGGGAGTATAGACTGGTATTGTGAATGTTGTCAGCACTCTCTGTTCTCATATTGAAACAGTATCCCAGGCAGTCCCAGTATCTACGTCGCTGACTGGCTTGCGGCATATATAAAAACCAGGTTTAAGTTAGCAAATGCATACAAACTTAATATGTGCTTACAGCTTTGTCTTTCCACATCTGAATATATAGCATCAGGCTTAATGTTAATACTATATACTAGATAGCTCTTGCACTGGCATGAAAACCATACCAGTTAGAGCTTCTGTTCAAACATAAGAAAGGTGATTTGGGGGTGATTTCTGTACTGGAGCGAAGCTGTGCTGTGCCAATCTTGAAAGTAGAGCGTCACATATCAGAAAGGCTCTGTGCCATACTTAAGTGTAGCAGTGTGAACAGGCATTCATACCATACTGGAACT